CCAACCATCTCCTCGCTGCAGCATTTACCACCCAAGCTTCACATCCATATAAGAGTGTTGGTACTACTATACTTTCATACATTCCCTTCTTTGCCTCCATAGATAACGTTTTTTAACTCCACATATACCTCAACGCACCACTCACCTTTTTTCCCTCATCAATTCTATGATTAATAACGTATGTTATTTAATAACATGTATGTTATTAAATACCAGACTCCACCACTGCGAGTCCTTACTACCCTCCCTCCGACCCCTGCAACTGGCAGCCAGCCCTCCCACCACTCAGTGTGGTGAGTGTTTTGTTTGTTCATTATTTGCTATTAAACTACAGAATAAATAATGTAAACCCATTCATGACTGCATATTGGAATGGCTATTAGGAAAGGTATTAGACGGTGACATCATGTGTTTACTCTTGAACACAGCAAAGAATCGAACATTTCTGCTATTGCTAATAATAATAGTAATAATAGTAATAATAATAATAATAATAATAATAATAATAATAATAATAATAATAATAATAATAATAATAATAATAATAATATTGGCAGTTTGGAGGGATATGTCGTGTATCTTTATATGTGTATGCTTCTAAACTGTTGTATTCTGAGCACCTCTGCAAAAACAGTGATAATGTGTGAGTATGGTGAAAGTGTTGAATGATGATGAAAGTATTTTCTTTTTGGGGATTTTCTTTCTTTTTTTTTGGGTCACCCTGCCTTGGTGGGAGACGGCCGACTTGTTGAAAAAAGAAAAAATAATAATAATAATAATAATAAATACAATATAATTGAAGAAGGAAATTGTACAAAAATACGAGGGAGTGGTTGACACATCGTCAGTGTGACTTTGTTTATGCTGGAGTGAACATTAGTCTCCCTGCTCTTCCAAACATTTCACAATAATTCAGCGGTTGAGGCAGTGGTATTTAATAACATATATGTTATAAATAATAATAGTACATGTTATTATTAATAACATGTATTATTATTAACATGTATGTATTTAATAACATATATGTTATAAATAATAATAGTACATATTATTAATAACATGTATTATTATTAACATGTATGTTATTAAATACCATTGCCTCAATCACTGCCTCTACCACTCCAGTCACACTCATTCTACAAGCACCAAACACAATGAATTATTGTGAAATGTTTGGAAGAGCAGGGAGACTAATGTTCACTCCAGCATAAACAAAGTCACACTGACGATGTGTCAACCACTCACTCGTATTTTTGTACAATTTCCTTCTTCAATTCTATCATATTTATTATTATTATTATTATTATTACTATTGTTATTATTAGCTGTAGCAGAAATGTTTAATTCTTTGCAGTGTTCAAGAGTAAACACATGATGTCACCGTCCAATACCTGTCCGAATAGCCATTCCAATATGCAGTCATGAATGGGTTTACATTATTTATACTGTAGTTTAATAGCAAATAATGAACAAACAAAACACTCACCACACTGAGTGGTGGGAGGGCTGGCTGCCAGTTGCGGGGGTCGGAGGGAGGGTAGTAGGGACTCGCAGGTGGCGGGAAACTTAAATATGATTTGGCGGCTGAGAATTTGGTGGCTGGGAATTTGGCGGTTGGGAATTCGCGAATGTGTGAAGCCCGTGAAAGTTGAAAACGTGAATGTTGAGGGAGACCTGTACTTGACCAACCAGGCTGTGGTTCATATGTCAGCTTGCCTGAGGCCAGCAGTAACAGCCTGGTTGATCAGACCCTGATCCACCATGAGGCCTGGTCTCAGACCGAACCATGGGGGCATTGACCCCTGAAACCCTCTCCAGGTAAACTCCAAGTAAACGTTATATAGTTGAAATGATTTAATGGGCAGTTTTCTGTGCTCAGTTGATACAACGAAAGGCATACTAGCAAAAAAGCTAAGAATTTGGTCAATTGGAACAATGAAATTGGCTTAAAATAGGACTTGAAGTGAACAAAACTGTCGCATAAATTGTGCCAAGACCATTAACTTGGCATTTGCATAATTCCATAAGTTTTCAATCAAATTTCATCCTTTTGCTGTCATTACCTACCCCCCCCCCCCCCCCCCCCAAAAAAAGATTCTCTACCATTTCAGAAGATTTTTTTTTTTTTTTTAAAGTGGACGTTGAGAGCAATATTAATTTTTAAGGATAAGTGATGGCTAGTATGGCTCAAGTATAGTAGCAGAATACATTCTCCCTGAAGGTGACTGGATGATCAGGGTGGAGCAAAATTACATTGTGACTGAACCACATATTTTCTAGAAATTGCCATGTAACACAGTTGAGATTTTAATATATAAACCACATCTTATTAAAAATATACTAAAAATATGCACAGCAAAAAGTTCACCATGGAATGACTCACGAAATCGTAATGACACAATTGCAAACAAACCATACCAGGGGCAAGGTTAGAACCCGCAATCAGAGAGTCACAAAACTCCATACCATCGCGTTAGCCACTAGGACCAGCTAGCTACTATAAGATTCATCCAACTAGGGATATTTCTACACCATAGCAAGGTTAGCATAGGCACCACTGTGACTACAAGTGCAAGTTTTTACAGACGAATCTCCTGCTAGCGTGGCCGTGACGAACTCTAGCTCGACTCCCCTCAAAGCCGTCAACATGACTCATGAAATCGTAATGGCACAATTGCAAACAAACCACCTGTGGTATGGTTTGTTTGCAATCATGTCATTATGATTATTTTGATTATTTATCTTGTTCATTCCATGTCACAAATCATCAGTGCCTATATGATACTTTAACTATCTGAATGTTAATTACATTTTCACAGCTTGTTGATGATAAAGAGAACAAAAGCTAAACTTTGCCAAGTGTTGTATTACTGTCAGATGCTGGCTGTGAAATAAAGAAATTGGATTGCATTGGTGGTCTCTGCAACTTTTCCAAGCAAACGGTATATAGAGGGTTCATAAAATACGTTAAGGTGGGACGGAATGGTTGGTAGAGCACTGGACCATCATTTGACTTGCCATGAGATCAAATGTTTGTAAAACATCTTGGATAAGAATTTTTTTTTTTTCAACGCGTTGGCCGTCTCCCACTGAGGCAGGGTGACCCAAAAAAGAAACACTTTTACCATCATTCATACATAATCACTGTCTATGCAGAGGTGCCCTGATATGACAGTTTAGATGTTACTCCAAACAGCCAATATCCTCAACCCCTCCTTTAAAGTGCCAACATTGTACTTCCCACCTTCAGGACTCAAAGTCCAGCTAACTGGTTTCCCTGAATCCCTTCACAAAATGGATACGAATTATACATATTTTTCTTAACCTCAATGGCTTTCTTCCACCAAGGCATGGTGACTATAAAAGAAAACACATTCACAATCACTCATTCAATCACTATTTTCCCAGAAGTGTGCTAACATTACAATCAGTTTACCCACTGGTATAAAAATCCCCACCCCATCTCCAGGACTCAAGTCCAGCTAACCACTTTTCTTGAATCCCTTGCTAACAGTCTAACAGCACATCTACTAAAAACCACTTAGTCTACGTTCACTTTTAACACACTCCTGTAAGCCTGCCTGCACTCTGAAGGAGAGTTGGGGATGTTGCAGTGTGGAGGGTCATTTAAATTGTTTTGTCTACACACTTCTTACTGAATGAATTATTGAATGAGTGTTACTGAATGAGTTTCATTTTTGGGGGTCACCTTACCATTGCTTGGCACACATGGCCATTTCCCACCAAGGCAGGGAATAAAAATAAAATTGTAGTTTTTCTGTTTTTTTTTTGCAACACTACCTGTCTCCCACCAAGGCGGCGTGACCCAAAAAAGAAACATTTTCACCATCATTCACTCTATCATTGTCTTGCCAGAGGCATGCAGATACTACAGTTCAGATGTACCTCCAAACAGCAAATATCCCCACTCCCCCTTCAAAGTGCATGCACTGTACTTCCCACCTCCATGACTGAGGTCCTGGAGGTGGGAAAAAAGGTGGGTGGGTGGTGCATTGAGGCCTCTAAGGAGACAAAGAAAATTATCCATGGAGGCAAAAAAGAGGAATGCATGAGTGTATAGTGGCACCAACACTCTTCTATGGATGTGAAGCATGTGTTGTGAATGTTGCAGGAAGGAGGCTGGAAGCAGTGGATATGTCGTATCTGAGGACAATGTGTAGTGTGAATGTTATGCAGAGAATCTGTAGCTTGGAGATTAAGAGGTACAGAGTTACTGAAAAGTATTATCCATAGGGCTGAAGGAGGGTTACTGAGCTGGTTTGGACATTTAGAGAGAAGGTGGGGAAGGGGTCATCCTAGGAGAAGTTAGAGGGGGGAGGGGTATAGGAGGTTTTTGTATGCGAGGGGCTTGGGCATCCCAAGGCATATGTGAGCATGTTAGATAGCAGTCGAGGCAAATGTTTTTTTGGAACTTGACAAAGTGTTGGAGTGTGAGCAAGGTAACATTTTGTGAAGGGATTCAGCACAACCAGATAGCCATTTTAATCCTAGAGGTGGGAAGAACAGTGCCTTCTCTGAAAAAGGGATGGGGATATTTTGCAGTTTGGAGGGCATCTGAATTGTAGTATCAGCAGTTACAAGTGAATGATGGTCAAAGTGTTTTTCTTTTTTTTATTTTTTTTTTTTGTGGGGGGGTCACCCTTCCTCGAGGGAAGATGGCCAGTGTGTTAAAAAATATATACATATACACAGTGTATAAAAAATTTAGGAATCAAACTACGAGTACATACAATGTTCATATTACACAACAATTACCTAGCAATTAACTAAGCATCCTAAGAACATGATGCATTTCTTCCTGCTTGAGATTTTTAAACATTGTAATCAAGAACTACAAACTTTTATTAACACACATTAAACGAAATATAAATCTATATCACATAAATCACACACACAATGTACAACATTTAAATTTTGACCTTCTCTCTTTGGACAACAACTGCAGCAACAGTTATTGACAACTGTGTGAGGTGACATACCATCAAGATAGTCTGCCCGCATCCTAAAACATACTGTTGGTCTTCCCAGGTCTTTCCACGTTGATGCCAAATATTCCAGTCCAACACTAAAGATGTACACATAAAGATCCACATCATTGGACAGGTAACTCTCCTCGTCATCGAAGTACTAGAAAATTAATTTCACTTACAAAAATATATACAAATTTATAAAAAATTATTCTTAAAAGATAAGAAAATTAGAACTAAAAAAAAAAAGTTAGATAGGAAAACATGTCAGACAAAACAAAACCTTAAAAAATGATCATGGTAGCTTTGAGGCCCATGTTAAAAAAAATGAATTACAGTATTACTGATCAAGCAACAACTGTACCAATAATATTTCACTGAATGTAAAAATAAATCTATACAATAAAACAAACGATTAATAATGCTATGAAAATATAAAACTATATCTAAGGAAACATCTAATGTAAAAAAAAACCCTTAGATATCATTCATAATTATGTAAATGTCCAAGGATTTGAATAACCGAGTTCAACTTTTTTAAAATTAAACTGCACTGGAACTGGGATTCCAACTCAGGGCACACTTGCCTGGTCGTCACCAAGCAACTAAAAACTAATGCCTAGAATCACTTACTCAAGAAGCACCTAATAAGGCTGGAGTGATGGTTTTACCTATGGCATGCTACTCCACTCATAAAGCCACTCAAGCTAGGGAATGTACACAAGTATGTCATCATAATCCTAGCACATGCACATGTATCATATTTCACCAGTAAATTGACTTTCCTTCCATTTTGGCTCAGAGCATCAGTCAGCACTGATTTGCCTCTAAGGCAGCACTAGTTTGACCTTCAAACACAGCACTCATAAGGCTTGCTGCACCTACTCCCCTCCCCCTTCTTTTTAATAATCCGGTTGTCTGCCACCGAGGTAGGTTGACCCAAAAACAGAAAAAACTTTTACCATCATTCACTTCATTTCTGTCTTGTTAGAGGGGCACTGACAAGGTAGTTCAAAACTGCAAATATCCCATCCCTCCTTCAGAATGAAGGCACAGTACTTCCTGCCTCCAGGACTTATTCATTCCTACAGTGAGTGAGATTAACAAGTTAAGGAAGCCTAGAGAACAAATGGATTTGTCAGTTAAAAATAGAAGAGGAGAGTTATTAAATGGAGAGTTAGAGGTATTGGGAAGATGGAGGGAATATTTTGAGGAATTGTTAAATGTTGATGAAGATAGGGAAGCTGTGATTTCGTGTATAGGGCAAGGAGGAATAACATCTTGTAGGAGTGAGGAAGAGCCAGTTGTGAGTGTGGGGGAAGTTCGTGAGGCAGTAGGTAAAATGAAAGGGGGTAAGGCAGCTGGGATTGATGGGATAAAGATAGAAATGTTAAAAGCAGGTGGGGATATAGTTTTGGAGTGGTTGGTGCAATTATTTAATAAATGTATGGAAGAGGGTAAGGTACCTAGGGATTGGCAGAGAGCATGCATAGTTCCTTTGCATAAAGGCAAAGGGGACAAAAGAGAGTGCAAAAATTATAGGGGGATAAGTCTTTAGCCTTATCTAAATACTGTTCACTTAAATGTTTCACTGTAAACACCTGGTCCATACACCCCCTACCTTTCCTAAAGCCTCCTTGTTCATCTGCTATCCTATTCTCCGTCTTACTCTTAATTCCTTCAATAATAACTCTACCATACACTTTACCAGGTATACTCAAGACTTTTTTTTTTTTTTTTTTTTTTCAACAAGTCAGCTGTCTCCCACCGAGACAGGGTGACCCAAAAAAAGAAAGAAAATCCCCAAAAAGAAAATACTTTCATCATCATTCAACACTTTCACCACACTCGCACATTATCACTGTTTTTGCAGAGGTAATGTGCGAGTGTGGTGAAAGTGTGGACCAGGTGTTTACAGTGAAACATATAAGTGAACAGTATTTAGATAAGGCTAAAGAGATCTTTGTGGCATTTATGGATTTGGAAAAGGCGTATGACAGGGTGGATAGGGGGGCAATGTGGCAGATGTTGCAGGTGTATGGTGTAGGAGGTAGGTCACTGAAAGCAGTGAAGAGTTTTTACGGGATAGTGAGGCTCAAGTTAGAGTATGTAGGAAAGAGGGAAATTATTTCCCAGTAAAAGTAGGCCTTAGACATGGATGTGTGATGTCACCATGGTTGTTTAATATATTTATAGATGGGGTTGTAAGAGAAGTAAATGTGAGGGTCTTGGCAAAAGGCGTGGAGTTAAAAGATAAAGAATCACACATAAAGTGGGAGTTGTCACAGTTGCTCTTTGCTGATGACACTGTGCTCTTGGGAGATTCTGAAGAGAAGTTGCAGAGATTGGTGGATGAATCTGGTAGGGTGTGCAAAAGAAGAAAATTAAAAGTGAATACAGGAAAGAGTAAGGTTATGAGGATAACAAAAAGATTAGGTGATGAAAGATTGGATATCAGATTAGAGGGAGAGAGTATGGAGGAGGTGAATGTATTCAGATATTTGGGAGTGGACGTGTCAGCGGATGGGTCTATGAAAGATGAGGTGAATCATAGAATTGATGAGGGGAAAAGGGTGAGTGGTGCACTTAGGAGTCTGAGGAGACAAAGAACTTTGTCCTTGGAGGCAAAGAGGGGAATGTATGAGAGTATAGTTTTACCAACACTCTTATATGGGTGTGAAGCATGGGTGATGAATGTTGCAGCAAGGAGAAGGCTGGAGGCAGTGGAGATGTCATGTCTGAGGGCAATGTGTGGTGTGAATATAATGCAGAGAATTCGTAGTTTGGAAGTTAGGAGGAGGTGCGGGATTACCAAAACTGTTGTCCAGAGGGCTGAGGAAGGGTTGTTGAGGTGGTTCGGACATGTAGAGAGAATGGAGCGAAACAGAGTGACTTCAAGAGTGTATCAGTCTGTAGTGGAAGGAAGGCGGGGTAGGGGTCGGCCTAGGAAAGGTTGGAGGGAGGGGGTAAAGGAGGTTTTGTGTGCGAGGGGCTTGGACTTCCAGCAGGCATGCGTGAGCGTGTTTGATAGGAGTGAATGGAGACAAATGGTTTTTAATACTTGACGTGCTGTTGGAGTGTGAGCAAAGTAACATTTATGAAGGGGTTCAGGGAAACCGGCAGGCCGGACTTGAGTCCTGGAGATGGGAAGTACAGTGTCTGCACTCTGAAGGAGGGGTGTTAATGTTGCAGTTTAAAAACTGTAGTGTAAAGCACCCTTCTGGCAAGACAGTGATGGAGTGAATGATGGTGAAAGTTTTTCTTTTTCAGGCCACCCTGCCTTGGTGGGAATCGGCCAGTGTGATAAAAATAATAAAATAAAATCTATGATAATGCAAAAGCTCATTTGGGCTGATTTATTTTGTAAAACAGTAGGTTCTTAAAGACTCGGTAGGTACTCAACTGTCTTCAAAAGAAGTGTAAAAATCAATCTACCAGTTAGTAATCCAAAATGAAACAGAACTATTTGTTAATAGTCTGTACAAAAGATACATTAGTATTGTACACATTAGGAGGATCTTTCCCTAATTTATAGAATTGCTTCTTCACAACAAACCAGTATAAAACACTAATATTTTATGCTTGGGGCTCGCCACGTTAAAAATCAAAACAAAGATAAGCAAGAGTTACTCCATTTCCTTAAGATTTCACTGATCAAGGCAGCTTTGATTGAAAGTGTCTTGATCCTGTTGGTCGTTTCCCTGAGAGCTTATCAAAACTATAAGGATTCTCACAGACAAGATTAATATGAGTAGTTCAAGGGATGATGAGGCCTCACACAGCAAGTCTCCATAAGCAAAGCTTAGTTCCAAGAGTGGGCAGGATTGGAACTTAAGAGTAAGACTACAGAGGGGAGGGAAAGGACATCACTCAGCCAGAGTGGAAATAAAAGATCCACTCAAGATCTAAAACTATGCAATGCCCAAACTGTATTGCATAATCAGTGACTTTCTTTCATGCCTACCACTTTATTACTTCATTTAAACTACATTATTTGTATGGCATAAAAACTCATTATTATTATATTTCAAAGAAATATAATAATGAGGAGTCCAATTTAAGTACAGTACCTCCTTCCTACTCACTACCTTGATTCAGTCTTATGTATGGTTCACTGACTACCAGTACAGCAGTTTAGGAACTCAGTAAGGTGTAGAATAAAGACTAATTGAGACTAGGCACTTTCTCTCATACCTCAGGTAGTGGCAATTGAAAATGAGTTTACTCCATGACCCTAGAAGCTTCAAGGGTAATACATGCCATAACCAATTTTCAAGACAGTGCGCTTGTCCAGTAAGTCCTCCGCATCAAGATTTTGTAATTAGCAGTAGTGTGCATGTCTGGTAGGCTCTCCAAACAACGACCATGTCCGTTACATCGGCCACTTCAATACAACCGATTGTTGAAAATGGTATAAAATACCGACAAGTTGAAGATTAAGACGCATGTGCAACAGTTGGGTATCTTTATTGATGAAACATTTCACCTACACAGTAAGCTTCTTCAGTCAAATACAAAGGGAGAAATAGAAATGAAATAATGATGATTTAATTAGTCCATCAACCTTGGAGAAAGAGTATCTGAAGTGGTCAGTCCCTGAGACTGACCACTCAACTGTTGCACGTGTCTTAATCTTCATCTACAAGTGATTTTCGTTTAAAAAGACACTCCCTCCCACCTATTAGTCCACCATATTGAGGTTTCACTGTTTAGTCAGAGCTTGGTTGGTCCATGTAAAAATGAGGCTATACTGCAAATCTAACCAAAATGTTACTTCACATCGCATCAAGAGACTTGCCAATATACTGGTATACTACCAGGTGAGAGTCTTGCCCTCAAGTTTAGGCACACACTCAGGGTCTTTCACTAATAGGTCACACATTCATCACAAATGCAAAAACACGGCTGTCGAGATCTAAACAACTCGTCTTGTTCAAATGCTAAGCATGACCTCCCTTTCTATGTTTCCCAATCTTCTAAAAAGTAATAAGATTTCTAATTACAGTGTACTGGTTTTACTTAGCAATCAAGATATATCACTCCAGTACAATCTTTTCCTTGGCTAGGAACACTGTGGAACAGTGCTCATAGTCTAAATTCTAGATTCAATCAACAGTTTTGCTCCAAATATCCCCCTTCAAATTACTGAAAGGGACTCTA